GTTTATTAATCAAGAGTTAACATTATCGTGCTCCACCGTATTCATGTGCAGGAAACCTGGCGGACGGCTGCTTGGGCGATCCGATGGTTCGAGCTGCAGAGACATTTGAACCGGGCGCGGTCTCTTGCTCTGGCGGCGGCACGGAAGCACCACGCAGTCGACAATGCCACCAGCGCTGTGACGCTCGGAGAAGATTCGGACTTTGTTCTGAGAAATTGAATGAAGCCTGCACTGGACCCCGAAGTGAGACGATTCAAGGAGCCATCTGCTGGAAGCCGCTTTCTGGGTGGTGCGCTGGTTCGAGGTCTACCGGAAGGCCCGCTTTTGCAGAATCTTCAGCAAGCTCTACCTCAGCACAGAGAGGTTATCTCGGGTTTATGCGGTTATCCGGGTACGAGATGCTTCTTCCCTGTATAAGCGGACTTACGCAGATCCTTCGCAATGACAGGCAGGCATTCGGGACGGAAGCTGCTTATGAGACTTTTCAGTGTCTGTAACTGCAGTTGCCGGGCAAGGATGCCTTTGCAATGCTGTGATTTCATCTAGGTGTGCGGCTCGTGTGCATCACGCGGGTTGTGGATTGATCGAGGTACACATTGCAAGACAGGCGGCGCTCTACGTGGCCCGCACGTCTGCAGCCGAGAGCGCTGGGTCATTCTACCTCGGGACGGTCACGGGTGGCAGCTGAGGCAGCATGCTGCTTCGAGAAAGCCAGGCGGAATTGCGACGTTGGCTGCATTGCTGGGAAATCAAAAGAAGTTCAAGCTGGGCAGGTGTATACATACACTGACATACACCACAATTTCAGAGAAGCGAAGCCTGGCTGTTGTCGTCGTGTCACAAGATCTTGCTGAGATGTCCCGGCAAGATCCCAAAGCCAGAGCATGTTGCACAGAGTGAAAATACTCCTGCGCAAGAATAGTTCCTAAACGTCGTGCGTGTCAGGTGAGTAACTACCTGGTAACTGCAACTTGGGCGCCTTCGTTGCACTTGGCCCACTTGGCAGCTGTCCTTGTGGAGCATTGGGCAGGCTTTTCCAACGATGCTTTCTCATTGACCCCTGTGTGCAGCTAACCATCGACAAATATGTTACAAATATAGCAACAGACTCTAAAATACAGGTCTACATATTTGTCACACAAGTGGTAAGTTGATGCCATTGGCGCCGTGAAGCCAGCAGGCGCTGAGATGGTTCGAGCTGAATCGCCAGCGTTACGAAGCTTTGCTGCACGCGGAGCGCTGGAACACTCGTGACTCGTGCCCGTCACATCAGCTCAACGCGCCTGTCCAATGATCTCAAGGACGTTTCTCGCTTCGTGGTTTTCGCCGTGCCTCGGCTGCAACACCCTCGCAGTCCAACGGAAGCCCTTTCTCGCACAGCGCAGCGGCAGGGGCAGATGGCCCACGTGGGCAACAGAGCTGTGGCCGTCAGTTGGGCTTTGCGTTGGTTTCAGTGGCAGAGCCAGCGGGGCCAGCGGAGACGAAGAGCGGACCGAAGCCGATTTCTCTAGGAAGTGTTTTCTCCTTTATTAGCTTGCTGTAAGGCTGTTAGTTGGGCATGGGCGTGCAGGACCAGCTGGCCCAGAAATATGCAGCCACTCTTGGAGATGCTGGCCGCGCTTTAGCAGCCGGCTGGTTTCGCTCATGGCGCCATTGGATGGAGAGGAAGCAGGCCGCTGATGCGATGGCGAAGAAGTATGCCAACTTGCCTTCAACAGGTTGTTGTAAGTTTTGAAAGGTCGCTCACTTTGGTAACTGGCTCGTGGCCAGACAGGTAGTCAGAGAGCGTGCCTACAACTTCTCGCAGAACGCACTGAGGCTTGGATGCTCAACACTTCAGTGCAGGCTGTGGCAATGAGCTGGTTCGAGCACTTCAGGATCATCCAGACAGACAGGCCAGCAAACGCAGTTCGATGTGACTTCTCGGTTTGTTTACGACAGTCGGCTCTTGGTGACTCGGTCTTGTCCGATTGTGGGTGCAGCCAGGGTGCCATGGGTGCCTGTTGAATTTGAGGCGCAATGCTGCGGGAGCCGACGCAGCAGCCGATCGACGTCGGAAGCTTGCCAACTCTTTGTGCAAGCGATCCGGGGGAGATGCAGCCCAGCCGAGATGGAGCTTGCCTGTGAGTGAGTGGTTGCTGATCTCTTGAATGTCTTGATTTCGACAGTTCGCAGGCATTGTTGGTCGCCCGGAGCTGGCACCGCAGCTGGAATCTCGCCCGTTGGGCAGAGCGCTTCCAGCAGCGACTGGCCACCATGCCATCCGCCGCGGGGAGCTGGTGCATGATGAGCTTCTTAGTTGGAAGAAGTCTCTCTCTGAATTGTTGATAATTGTTGCTGGTGGCTGAAGCCCAAATCTTGTGCACCGCACCTCAGGAAGTTCACCTTCCCTTAACTTGCCGTTGAAAGGTGTGGTCGTGCAGCACTGGCGGTTCCTATGTGCCTCATCTGGCATGGCGGGAACGCGCGGGTCACGCAGGGCTCGATGGCGGCGGCTGTTCCTAGCGGATCATGCCGAGGGTGACTCGTCTGCGATTGCGGGCATGAAGTCAAAACAAGTCGCACCAAACAAGGCAGCCTCGCATGCAGACTGAGAGGCACAGTCACAGAATCAGGCTCGTCCTTGCACCACTCCTTGCTGTCATGGCAAAAACTGGCTGCTTCCCGGCGAGAAAGGAGGGGTGGGCAAATCAGGCTTGTAAGCTGTTGTAAGACAAGGGGCTGTCAAATCAGGCTTTAACGTTACGGTCAGAGACCATGCCAAGGCTGGCCTTGCTCGGGGACGTTGCACATTCGAGAAAGTGATTAGCCGCTTGAGGCTCGGAAGCTCCCCTTCCTTCAACAGTGCTCTTTGCGTTTCGGAGATGACAGGCTCGACGCGGCGGCTACAGAACTGGCTCTTCGTGTGTGGCAAGCTTGGAGCTACGAGACAGCCAAGACTCGAGCATTCCGAGCGGCTTCGCTGCACCCTGTCGCCTAGGGCCTAGAAATCGCAAAGGTATGTTTGGTTGAATTTGTTGTTGAACCTATCAGTATCAGTTTTCCTGGCCGTGGGGACAAAATGGGCGTGAGGTGTCGGTTGCCGCATCTTCATGCTGTAACTTGACCATCGTGATGTATCTCCTTTCCACAGGAAGCCCGACTCACAAACACTCGAGTGCTTGTGCGAGGGTCACTTGCACACTTCATACGAGACCCGGTTATGACTTCTGCAAGCGGCCGAGAAACTGGTAAGCCCCTTGATCCCAGCAGCGTGTTGGGTGGCAAGGCCTCTTTCGCTCGGAGAGGATGCAAACTGCAAGAATGACGGGGCCGACATATAACGACATAGCACCTCTTTTCTTTCACTGAGAACTCGTCGCAAAATCTCAAGAAACGTTCAAATTACATGGATTGCATGCTGGTGATGCACATCTCTCGGCGTCGCTCGGCGCGAACACGTTGCGAACCGAATGCTGAAGGTCATGGAGGAAGCGATCGGATTGCGTGATGATGGCCTCGAGCTTTGCGCACGCGTTGCTCGGCAGCGGGAGATGATGGGGCCGCCCTGGTCCCTGCTGGCAGTGTGGTGGTTCTGGGTGCAGAACTCGGTGTGCAGATCTGTGCCGACGCGGCTTTTGCTGGCAGTCATGGCAGCCTTGAGCCAGCCCGCAGGTGGCTAATTGCCGTACCTCTCTTGGCACCGTCCACTCTATCAAGGATCCGCAGCCTCTATGACTCTATGGGTCGGTCACTGGTTTGCGCACGCTTTCGGCAGTGCTTTGACAGGTTTTGACAAGCCGTGACAGAGAGAGTCCGGACAGAGTAGTCATGATGCTTCACGACTGCCGGTCTGGAGTAGCCATTGCATCGAGTCCGGGATCCTAAAGCATACTGCCAGACCCGGGCCCACCTCGACCCCGACAGCAGGGTCAAGCTGTGAGGGGTGTGTTTGGCAAACTGCACCTGTCTCGGGCGAGCGAGGATGCAGCCCTCCAAGCCGGAGATCAAGCCTGGCACAAGCTCTCGCGCTGCACAGAGTCTACGATGCACTTGGAGACCTTGTTTGCAAAGCGTTGCAGTTGCAAGGGTGCGGAAGATAATACCTAGGAGCTGCAAGCTCTCTCGGCAGAGCGCACTTTGACGCCGGTTTGTTGCTGCATGGCGTGGTTTGCCTGGGCGTCCGCGAGTCGAGAGGCACCTTGGCCGGGAGGTAGACCAAATGCACAGCCGAGACGGGACACGCAAGCAGCGTGCATGAGCATAAGCTTCGGATCGAAGGCGTGGCTCACGCAACAGCGCAGAGCAGTGGAGGAGGCCAAGAAGCGACCCGAGATGATGGCGGCAAGGTGCGCCACATACCTAGAGGACTTTGATGTGTCACTGTACCTCTCTACCACGATGTCGGTGTGGACCTGAGATTGCCACATAGAGAGTGCAAGAGACCGTTGTTGCTGAAGCTTTGCATGTCATTAGCCATCCAAGCGGAGCTGAGGCATGGATACGGCATGTGGCTTTGAGCCGCATGGAGAAGTGCGAAAGCGACCTTGACCTCACAAGGCCTGCAATGCTGCTTCACAGGGAATGAGAGGCTGTGTTGTTTGCAGTTGCACACGGCTGGCGCTCCCGCGCAGGGCAAATTACAAGTTGGCACTGGAGGAACACACTGCGGCCTTGGATGCAGCCGGAGTGAAGTACCAGGCGCTTTGCTGTGGGGAGTCGGAGCAGAGACGAAGAAACAGCGCCGCTTCAGGCATCCTTGGAAAAGAAGAAGGCTGAATTGAACGAGGTACAACAGAGGTCAGGGGAGGGCATTCCGTCCGTAATTTTTGCACGTCTTGAAAGCTCTGGCAGCTGGGCAGATACCTGACGGCGACTGCCAGCCGAAACGAAGCCGGGGAAGCCCTCGAGTCTCAGTTGAGCTTGGCGGAGGAGCAAAGCGTGATGATGGCAGAGGCCCGGCCTTTGCTCTCTGGCGAGGAATTCAGGTGGTGCTCCCGCGCTTCGCGAGGAGAAGTATCAGCGGGAAGCGATGAGGTATGAGGTGCAGCGCCGCAGTCGGCTTAGGGGTCCAGGCCATGTCGCAGCATCTCGTGAGCACGAGGCTTCGCTGGAGACCTTGGCCTTGCGGCAGCGTCTGACGGAGGACCCGTGCTTCTTACAGCAAGACCTGTCTGCTCGGCTGGACGTCAAAGTCCGAAAAGCTACTGCACAGATTGAAGGGTGCTGTTCATGTGACACTGCGTCAAAGAATCCTGCTAAGCAGGCCAAGCTGATGCACCGACTGCCTCACAGGACAGGCTGAGTGCAGAGGCTCAGGCTGCACAGGACAATGAGGCCCTCGCCGAGGCCCCAGGAACTGCGAATCGGTGTGAGATCTGAGCTCTGCGACTGCTCTGCGGCTCTGCCCGTGTGTGAAGATCCGAGGTGATGCAGCGCCACACTGCATCACTGAAAGCCATGGAGCAGAAGCATCAGCTCTCGTTGCGGGACCTTTTAGAGGAGCTAGGCCATGCAAGCTGTAGTGAAGTAGTGCGCCCGTCCTGCGGATCTCGGCCACGTGCATGCAGATTTGATGTGGCAGCAAAGGCTGAAAACAGCTGAGCAGAAGATCGCACGTGCTTTAGAGAAGCATCGGCTGGAGCTGGAGATGAAGTACAAAAACGAAGCCGAAGCTTTGCTTGGAAGAACGGAGGAAGCACCTGATAAGCATGAATTCCGCTAAATGCCGAGGAGAAGAGGCACCAAGCGGCCTTGGACGAAGTGTTCATGACCATCGAGCGGAAACCTGGTGGCACATGTCGACATAGCGATGCGCTGTGGTGTTGACCTAAACTACACTCTATTGGGCAAGGGCTGAAGAAGAGAGGAGGACCAGGAAGAGGAGAGAGAGGATAAGGAGGAAGTGTATGTAGATTCATGCCTGGTAAGTCCGAAAGTTGTCTTGGATCCTCGCCTGACCCGTCGAGTGCGCGTGCTAAAAAATGTAGATTCATTGAAGTTCGGTCGTGTTCTCAGCTGGACATCTTTGTTGTGTTCTGGCTTCAGGCTCACATAGGCCCAGACAGTCCCAAGCAGCAAAAAGTGGAACTCGCCTGGGGTTCTGGATCCTGTTGGCCTCGGAAAGTCTGTCACATGAGGCCTATGACGCCTGGCAAAGTTCGAAGCGAGATTCGCACAAACTGCCGTAACCAAGAACCGGCTACGTTTCCTTCTAGTCCACACGATTATGGTAGTACGTTACAGAAGAGATCGTGCAGTTGTCTTCCGAAAAGCTTGCCGTACCCTGCATGTCTCGCTGATTTCCAGGCAGAGGGCAGAGCTCGTCCGGACCCAAGTCGTGTGGCTTCGTTTGGTGAACAAAAAAAAGCTGGCACACATATGTGTCTTTCTGCTGGGAGACAGCCTTGCTTGTTTTCAGCACAATGTCAGCAGCAGTAGGTGAGGTTGTCGGCTCAAACGTCTCATGCGTCCGTGGAGGGATCGGGTTTGAAGCATAGCTGTGCCAGGTAGAACTGCGGCACTTCAGCCTGCTGCATGTTGGAAGTGGCCATAAGCATGGGATTTCTGTTCCAGAAAGCATCGGCCAATTTTGCCAATCGTATGTTCAACATCAGACCCCGGCATACGATCTCTTCCTGTGTCGCCTTCTGTGGCCGTGAATGCTGCAGCGCTAACAAAACGGTAATATTTTGGACAGATGACAGTGGTGCGAAAACAGTTAGACTCTCTGTCACGAGTTTTTTTCACGAGCAGTTGAGTTCCTCTGGAATGCGTGCCACTGTTACCTGTAGATACAAGAGCGCCGAACATTCCCAATAGCTCTATTTGCCAGCCTTTGTCAGTGTCTGTTTAGTCACAGTTTAGTCTGAAGCGTTCTCAGATTGAAAGACTAAGCGACGAAACACCGCCAGCTTTCTTGGGAAACAAGCCGGCCCTTGCATTCTGGGGGTTTTGTCCCACATTGGAGATTGAAAGTCCCTTGGCTCCGCGAAATGCAGACTACAAGGTCTCATGTTGGGGGAATGGCATGAGGGGTGCCAGCGAAGCGTAAGCCGAGCCATGCGATGTCAAGTTGCCCACGTCACGCTGCAGCCACTCAGGCCGGTATGGAGCGAAGCGAGGAGCTACTCCTGCAAAAAGCAGAGCTCTCCGAAGCACGCTGGTTCCGCACCTGAATTGTTTCCAGGAACACACGTCATGTGAGAAGTTGAGTTTCCGCTTCTTCTAGTTTTGCAGTTGGAAGACTTGCAGTTGCGCTTCTTTTGAGCACGGTTGAGGAACGCTGAGATCGATGATCTCCGCTCATCGTCGCAGCAGCAGGAAGAGTTGCTTTCCCGGCAACACGGAGGCCGGAGCCAAGGGCATTCTGAGACAATGCATGGTATGCATGTACTCGTACTACCAACATACGAGTGCTGCCTGCAAAGTCCTTTCGCACGATGGCGCGGATCGGGCTGTGTAGCAGTATCACACACAGCTGGGTCACAGCGCTTGCGCGCGTGAGACTGACAATCACGTCAACTTAACCGAGGACATGTCGAGGAAGCGCGTCGTGCTGCTCACCTCGAAGCGCAGCAACAGTTCCAGATGGCGCTTATTCAGCGAGAGGTCATGTAGCTTGGTCGAAACTTGAGGGAGCTGGATAAGCTCTGCCATCTACCTTCTTTATCCTTCCCATGATCCTGATGCAATTTCATGTCATTTTGACAGGCAAGAAGCTTCGGAGATGGAATGCCGCCTCGCCTTGCAGACTGCAGCACAGCAACAAGAGCTTTCAACTCAAAGCCCCCTCGTTGCAGTTGAGAGCACGTGCAGTGGCACTGTCTGCATGGCGCTCGACACGAAGTCGTTTCATCGCTCTCCTTTGCCAGCCTGAGGCCGGCAGGCTGCGCTCCGTTCAGTTGAGAACAAACATCAGTTGGCAATGCACTTGTCGGAGCAGAAGCATCTCAGCTGTTGTGTGATCCGTCTCCCAACAGCGCTTCGGTTGCAGGCCTTAGCATGATGCGTGCTCTTAAGGATCCAACAGGCGCTCGAAAGGCACCGTGCAGACTTGGAGTCGAGGCCAGCGGGTGCAACACCCCTGCGGCGTCAGATTTCGTAGATATTGGACAATCTTAAGTTTCTTAAGGCATCATGCAATCGTTCAGCTATGGCCCTTGACGAGGTATCATGATGCTCTGATGCGCAAAGAGCAAGAGAATGCCAAGCTTGCCAGTCGGTGTTCCACATTGGAGACCGAAGCTCGGCTCAATAGCTCGAAGTCTCGGTAAGAGTAATTATGACATGAGCGGGCACCCAAGCCAGAGCATCAGAGGCCGACGGTCTCTCTAAATTGACTTCCGCGGCTTGTTTCTCTCTTGCGAAGTTGTCATTCCTCTTTTCGCTCTTCTCTCTCTCTCTGCCTCTTTGTCTTTCCTTCATTCAAGGCAATTCACAGTCACATCGAAGCACGATGCCATCTAGGGGTGCAGCCTACATGAGTCCCGCAGTAAGTAGAGTCCTCGCGCGGCTTGGGTCAAGCATCGCATGTGAACCAGCTGGCAAGTTATGTGTTGAGTCGCATGCTGTTGGCTGGGTTTGTGTGCTATTCTTCCTGGTGACAGGCATGATATTTGCAAAGTTGCATTATGCGATCAGACTTATCAACTTTCGAGGAGCTGACAGCCTTTGAGAAGAAGGCTAAAACCACCCTGGAGACATCTCTGGAGGCAGCCGCCGGCCAAACTCCTTGTCACATGCATAGTGCGCCAGCCTGCAATCATGGGGAACGAAGTCAAGAAGTCGTTGCTTGGAGAGAAGCGATGCAGGTTTCCCAGCAGCACCACCATGCAGCTTCCCAGTTGGCAGCAGAAAGATTCTCGGACTGTGCTTGGTGCTGCGGCGGCTCAGTGGCCAGTGGGCTATAGAATCGAGCTGTCACTACACTTTCTCTGTGATTGCAAGCTGACAAGATACGAGGACATGCTTTAACCCTAGCAGAGCGGCAGCTGAAGGCTGATGAGAGGCGCACACAAACATGTGGGCTGCCCTGGCAAGATAAAGATGTCACGCCAGGTATGAAGCTCAGAAAGCTGTGGAGGAGAAGCAACAGGCCAACGGTTTTGGTGGATTCGTTGACCACTGTCTTGAGAGTTTGACTCTTGCTCCAGTTTTGATGCGAGGCGCTGCTTCGTGATGCAGAGGAGAAACTGCTAGAAGAGAAAGAAGCCTCGGTGCAGAAGCTGCAGGACCAGTATGTACCTTACTCTTGATGTTCGGCTTTAATTGCCACAAAACGCGAAGCAGTCTCACGCGCTGCCAGGAAGCAGTAGCGAACTGCGAGAAGGACTTGCGAGAAAGTCATGAATCGACATGCGAGAAAATGGCCGAAGATCACCAGAATGAAGTCGCGCCTCGTACTGTTATGAGTGTTCGCAGTACCGCAGATAGGCAAACATAGTCAAGCTACATGAAGCTGCCACTTCTGCAATGCAGCTTCCTGTAGCAGCAGTCTTTCAGATGCGATTGCATCTCGCACAGTGTTTGTTCGGAGTGCGGCGAATCAGGGGCTAGCTGGATGCATGGAGCCAAGCGTGCAAGGTGCGGCTGGAGGCCGCCCTGGAAGCTGGCCAAATCAAGTACCACCTTTCGATTGCCGCTCGTTTAATGCAACTACACAAACCTCAGTCCAACGCCATCCATACGGCAAGGAAAAGTACACAAATGTGCTCGAAGCCACTCGGCAGAAGCACGACAAGGCCATGGAGCTGTTGAGGAAGGAGCTGGCATCTCGGCCTGAACTATGCAAAGCTCGCCCGCACCTGCTCGCATGCTGGGAACTCCTCTTTTGCCACCGTATGCCCAACCAGTGTGACAAGGAAGAAAAGCACATTACGTCTATATCGGACATGGACCACCGGCGCCTCGCAGCACTTGGTTCTGAGCATGTGTGCGTGTGTTTGCGTGTTTCCAGTAGGCGTTCTATTCTAATCTCGAAGGTTCAGCATGCCAGATTTCAATCACAGAAACGAATAGACAAATGGGTTCAACTTCGATCCGATAAAAGGATTAGGAGCGTTCTGCACATGGCAAGGCATTGCCTAGGCCTAGTCATTACCTTCCGTGTCGAAGTTGATAATTGTATTGGTACTCATGTGCAAGAGTTGTCGATGGCATGTGTGCCGGGATCAGCATATCGCATCGAAGCATGCCTGAGGGGACCTGCATGCCCCATGACGACTGATTTGTGTTCTATTACGGATTCAATCAGGCAGAAACCTGTTGTTCGGTCATGTGAGAGCAAATGGTACCATCATCTTCTCTGCGAGGGATCCTAAACAGAACTAGTGAGCACTACGACACTACTACATTTCAGCGGCCACACATCATGGCGCGCAGTCCTTCGGTTCATGTGATCTTGAAAGTGCTTCAAAGCTGCAAATCCACCTGCCATTCAAGGTACAGCCATGCCATGTTACAGTGCGAAGCTGTCGCTGAATCGGCAGAAACCCGGCTGGAGCTTGTGGAGGAAAAGCTCCCAGACTGTGTACAAGATTTTCCAGGCATGTCTGACGGAGTCATGCTTGTCGTCCATGTTTTCAGTTCAGGTTTACCAACGAAGTGGAGAGTTTGGAAGAGTTGAACGAGTGGCTTGGCTGCAAAATGTTCTACCGCAAATCCATATTGCTGTTGAAAGTGGATTTCAAGATTCAAGGCTCCAGATGACCAGCATGAAGACGGAAGCTCCGTTGCGACTGGAGGGCTGACCGTTACCGCGCTGTCGCGACATGAGCTGCTTCCTTCTTGCGCAAGTTTGGAGTGCACGTGGCAAGGATTTGGAGGAGCGCCACGCCGCAGCTGTATCTTCGGCCCAGCAGCAAAAGTCGCCTCTTGCTCGTGATCGGGCATCAGGGTAGGAGTCAAAAGAGCCAAGCTTATTGCTTCCATGCTGTCTGCCCAGCCCAGGTTGATGGAAGCAGAGCAGACTTGGATGAGGGAGATGCTTGTCAGACTCAGACCTGTGGAATGTGTGAGAAGCATGCTGGGAGACTGGTTCAGCCCAGTTAATATACAGCTCAGTTGAGTGCACAAGAACGCTTGAAGCTTCCCTGGTACTGCCCTCCCCCGAAATCCCCACAATGAAATATCACGCTCCCGTGGTATTCGGCGACAGGAAGGTGTTAAAGGTCTTGATCAAACGGTAACTGAACGTTGTCAGAATGCGGTGTGCCCCTGCAGAGTGCACTGTGAGCCACCACCCGGAAATCATGGGGGAGTCCGTTCTAAGCGTTGTGCTACGGGTGCGAGCAGCTTGCTCTCATTGGGCTCATCTTAAGCTGGGATGTGGACAGAGCTACATGGATGAATTCACCGTTGAAGCTGAAGCATGTTACTGTAGAGTCAACTCTTGCAGAGGAAGCAAGAACTCAGTGAAGAAGCCTCCGAGCGGCGGGAGCAGAATTCTGTGCAGAGGAGGGGATGCTGGGAATGTTTGTCCGGCCTGCATCCGGCGGGGTGCTGTGCATTCAACAAGCTTCAGGCTTACGAAGGAGCTAGAAGCCGCGAAGCTGAAGTATCAGCTTGCCTTAGAAAGACACGAAGGGGAGCTTGCAGATCTGCGACTTGGCAGCGGCTTCTTGTGGGGCCCCGAAGACTGTTGTAGGCCCTGTAACTTCAGTTTTGAATTGAACTTCTGAGGAAGTTCCAACATGAGACGGTCTTGAAGAGCCCCGGACTCGGATTCTGTCGTTGCCGGGAACCACATGTGCTGCGAGGGGATTGGCCCCAGCTGGCGCAGGTCGAGAAACTGCTTTGGAGGCGCTGGTAGCAAAGCTGATTCCGGACGCATTTAGTACACAAGGGGATGTGTTCAGGCAGGAAACTCTAGGTTTCAGAAAATTGCAGGGACTGGGTCGCACAGAGCAGAGCGGACCCTTCAGTATTGTGCCGTCTGAGAAGCCAAGGAAACAGACGGAGCTCCGGCATGGAAAGGCTATGGAAGCTGCTGAAACGAAGTTTCGGAAAACCATTGATCGCGTGAAGAGGTGTGCCATTGAAGACTCTCAGCTTTGTCTTTTACCTTTGGCCTGTCGGTTGTGTCCCTCCAGACACTGCTCGTAAGTAGCTTTCGAAACTGAAGTCAGTTGCAGTCGGGAGTCTGAGGAAGCCCGTCAGCAGATTTTGGAGCATCGCCGGAGATGCAAGGCTTGCCAGCAGGACCCGCGGCCGCCAGCCTTGTATCTTGTATCCTGAGTGCAGAGCTATAAGACACCGGCTCTGTCGACAAAGCTCTTCCACAGGAGCCTTTGCCCCTTGAGCTTCGCGCCGCCACCGCTACACCAAAACCGAAGCTCCCCGGACGGATCTGAGAGGAGGCCCATTGTCCATCCTGATGTTGCGCTTTCAGCGGCCCCCAGGCCCGCAGCAGCGAAGCCAAGAGATCCTGAGCCTCAGCTGGAGCCGCGCATCCGGGAGGCAGCGCGGTGCGCTTGTCAAGAGAAGCCCTCGGTGGGCTTTTGATTGCCGTCGCGAGTCGTGGCCCTAAGGTGGTGCCTTTGGATCCGAAGCTCGTGGAGGTGACCCTGGAAAGCCTCATGGTCGAGCGCAGTCGAAGCTGGATTTGGGCGCAGGCGAACAGTCCAACCTCAAGAGACGAGACAGATGCAGTTTCTTGTGCCAGGATATGCAGCGAACCGTCGACCATGGCATTGAGGGCATCCTTGAGTTGCACGAGGCTAGGAAGCCGCAGCTGATGGCAACTCTCTTGATGTGGAGCTGGCGCTTGCCAGGCCATGCTTCTACTGCTAGAGCAAGCTGCACGACACTCGCTGCTTCAAGGGCAGGAGGACGGTACGGAAATGAGAAACCATCCTGCGAGAGTTTTGTGATTCCGATTCGGTGTTCCGCCTCAGCAAGGTCCACAACCACAAGGGGTTTTGCTCGTCCTGCGTGTGAGGACCCGAGGGCAGAATCGCGCATCGCCGCCGTGAAGCAGCTGGTCGCTCGAGTTGGCCAGGTCAACGAAGAGCTGGGCAAGTTAAGAAGCGCACCTCGTCAGATCTCGTCAGACAACATCCCTGGCAACTGATCGAAGTCTGAATGGCTGCACCTGCGATCAAGGATCGGGCCGAGTTCTGGTACACGTTGCATGAAACATCGGAAGAAGCGGTTCACTTTCTACGCCAGGCTTCAGACAGAGCTCAAACTCTTGTCGACACTACCACCACCACCACCACGACTACTACCGCTGCATTCATGGTATTTGCAGGCGAATTCGCTTCCTGCTCCGGGTCCCGCAGTCGTGAAGCGACTGGACTTCGAGATCGAGGACTCACTCTTGGTTTTCATTCTTTGCTACATTCCGACATTGCTGTGTTCACTGTGCGCCTCCTGACTCTTTAATTTGCGGAGGAGCTTTGCGACGACCAGAAGAAGATGGCAGAGGCGTTCAGTGAACTGGCGCTTCGCTTGAAAGCGGCAGGCTGGAGAAGAGAAAGCAGAGCCTGTATTCGCCGTTCGCAGTGAAAGCTTTGCTTGCGTGAAAGCGCAGGGCAGGGCCAGGGCAGGGACCAACTTGGGGAGGCTAGTAATTCAGCCAGGTGGCCGAGCGCCCGGCCGTTTTTTGAGCCCGGAACATCTTAAGTTCCAAGCCAAGGGCCGGACTTCATAATGGAGGCGGGATGCGAAGAGAGCTCAGGCATCGAGGCCCCTTTAAACTCCATGCTTTCGGCTGCCGTAGTCTCGCCTGGCTTCAAGGAGGGGCGAGTGCTCCCAAGGTAGTTCATTTCGAGCTGCCGAGCCTCGATGGAGCCTCAACAATCAAGCTGTTGTTTGGCAAATTGTTGCAAGTTGCTTCTATTATCTTCTGTTATCCTTTGGATTCCTTTGGCTAGGCTACTGAGGCTGCTGCAGAACAGAAGCATGAACGAGCAGAACACTGTGCTGTCTCTGCGCCTGCAGGCGGAAGCCTGGAGAGCCTCCAGGAAGCTCGCAGTTCCCTGCCAACAGGGGCACATGGCTCACAGGAAGCAGCAGCACTGGACGAAGCAGGTGACCGGAGTGGGTGATGTTCATTTTTTTGCAGGCCATGCTCTGATGATCTGCTCATAAACATAGCAGCCCAGAGGTTACATAATTACTCCGTACTTGCCGAGTCTGCCTGCTGGACGTGTCTTGGTTTGTGCAGGGCTGTGATGTCATTTGGTCTCATCATGTAGCAACCTGAACAAACCCGAAGTTCCCAGCCTGCAGTGTACCTGGTAGGTTGTCACGTTTATGCGTTTGCTCTTATATGCATATACTGTACAGCAGCAAGTGTTAGATATACATGCGCCTGCCTATCGCATGTGCATGCGTATTGTAAATTTAGGGTTTCTGTCATGACATGAGTCAAATGAAATATGTACGCTTGTATGCCAATGTATGCCTGTGCGCATGCGAGTCTCTTGTGCATGTCTTTTTCATGCACGCAGGTATGTACAGGTGTCTGTTTCTACAAAAACTCCGAATATCTGTGCGCTTTCGTAGCATCTTACCCACAGAACGTTCCAGCCGGTTCGAGATGTGTCTTTACAGGTGCAGATGCACAGAAGCTGCTTGAAAGCTCCCGAGAGGCCGCTGTAGAATGCAAAGCAAGGTAGAGCCGGCGCGTACCTTGCAGCGTTCATGACTGCTGTGGCAGAGGTGGTCACCGCTCTCCTGGCAGACGTCCGTGATCTATTCTACCTCGTGGATGGATCAAACCTTCGGCCTCGATTGCGCCCGCACCCTGCACTGTCAGCACCAGCCCCATCGGCACCACAGATCGAAGCAGACGCAAGGCAGAAGGGAAGACAAGTCCAGTCCCAATCTAAGGCTTGCTGCCATTATTCGTCTGTCTGATACCAGGCAGATCATCCACCCGATGCTCGAGCCGCCGGACCTGCGGCAGACGTACGAGGCTCTTGTCGTTGGGCCAGCCCCTCTCTTCATGTGCCCCCAGTGTCTCTCACAGATGCCTGCATGGCTCCAGTCTCCAGGATCTGCCAGCTTCGTGAGAGCGCTTCAGCTTGTCCAGATGCTAGAGATCGCTGGGAGTTGGCTGGCCGGAGCGCTCAGAGAAAGGCTCCGATGTCTCAGGAACGCCACCCCGGAGAAGCAGAAGAAGCTGGAGGAACATCCCAGATCGACCGGAGAGGCGAAGAAGCTGCCATAAGCCATCGCCAGAACAGGCGATGTTGCAGGCGGTGATTGTGCATCCTGGAGATCTCAAGGCTCTTGATTTGGGATTTGGAGCTGGCTAGATCGGCTGGACACAGCTTGGCTGGCCAAGCCGGCCAAGGTGCATGGCATCAACTCGAGCCAGTCTTCAAGACCAGATGGCCTACATCCGTCATATGGCAATCAGGAATTTGCTGCTACCTGAACTCCATGGCACTCAACGACGGGACTCTCTGGGCAGGTTTCGCCCAAGTGTCTCCGTGGCATCCCCGGCGCAGGTCTGGAGGAGCAGCCAGTCGATGGCGGAATTTCGAGACCTTGCCTGTTCCTGTGAAGCTGCAGCGAAAAAAGACTGAGACCCTTGAGTGGACGGACAAGCACTGCCCTTGAGAAGTTTCCAGCTCAGCAATGGCAGGCCACGAGGAGCAGTCGCGCCTGTTGAAGCAGGTTCGCTCGGACTGTTCTGTCTGATTCGCACGACAGGTTTCAGATGCAGCAACACATCCTCCATTTCTTTCCAACTTTCTAGCGCTTCTTGCTCTTACTTCCAAGATGCTCTCACATGCAAGTCGAACCACAGCAGGTGTCCGCTCGCTCCGCCGCACTGAAACTTTGTGAGTCCTGCGAGCAACGGTGGCAGCTTTTCAGGGCCTGCCGACTACCGGACCGTTCTGTGTTGTTCAGACAGCGAGGAAAACGACAAGACTTCATGGTCACTTCTGAGGAAGAGTGTAGTTCCAGCAAATGTTGTCGCGGCTATTCTGCTGTTGCCAGTCGCCCTCGTATATCTTCGGTCTGAAGAAGCCAGCTGCGAAGGCAGGATCTGGCTCGGCAGCTCGGGAAATCCGCGGAACTCTCTTGCATCCCTTGTCAGATCGTGGGTCCTTCGCTGAATGGTCCTGGCTACACTGGGCCAGATCATGCATGGGACAGGCTCTCAAAGGACCGAAATGGCAAGCTCATGCTTTTGCCTTGAGGGACAGGGGAACCTCGGGAACCCTAAACTCCAAAACCTAAATACTACAGGCCGGTGTTACCTCCTCTCCACTGTTTCAGCCCGTAGCATGGCTGTATCCGCAATCAGAATCACAAGAGTGCCGGCTATAGCCTCCCTGACCTCACTGTCACGTCATGCCAGGACCTGGGCGTTATCAGCCACCACCAAAACAAGCCATCGCAGCTGTCCCAGACATACCTCTTTCAACATGCACGGCTTGTACGCAAGATGTCGAATCCGCAGGTGGAGGTTTGGCAAAGAGCTTGCACGGTGCCCCTCAGGGGCAGACAGTCCGAGAACACGGCTGCCGTACAGAAATGTAAAGTTCGAGGACACAAAGTAAGCAAGCAGATGCCACCAACTGCTCAGTCCAGTGCTGAGGGTGGTGCCTAAACGCCTTTGTCAGGTATCCTCTTCAACTCGAGCTTAGCAGCCCACCTGAGGCGTCTTGGCTGCGCTGTGTCTCCGAGCGCTTTAGGACTCTAGGACGCACGGGCTACAAGCTCCCCCGCAAAAGAGAAACCCCGCATTCTTTCGCGAGTGTGCGTCTATGTCTCTCTCCCAGCCACAGTGTGTGTGTGTGTGTGCGTTTATGTATGTGTGTTCGTCGGTTGGCAGAGTTCTCGATGGAGTCACGGAGGGACATGTATGTTTTGGTGTTCATGCGTGTTGCGTCGCGTCCTTCGCGGGTATCATGGGCTTGCCCTCAACTGCAATACGCAGTTCCTTGCAAAGGTGGGACCTGGCATGTACGAGTCGACGAAAGGCCACGGCGAGTGGTGTGTCATGATCCATGTTGTCCTTCAAAGCTTCTGATCGCTATCTGCTCGGCAGTTGCGTTGCTAGAGGCTGCTCTTATATGATGTTGTCAGGACTACACACTCAGTTTCCGAGCTGACTGAACTTGACCAGAGCTTGCGACTATCGCTCCTCTGTGGGTCAAGCTTGGAGAGCACGGTTTGCATGCCTCCAAGACTAAGTCAGAGCCAGCATGTTTCACAATTCGCGTGCAAAAGGGTCTCTGCGGATGCTTAGGGCTCAGGCGAGAACATGTGGCACTGAAGAGACGAAGGGCAAAGTCTAGCAAGCATGCCAGCCTTTGATTGCTTGGCCTTCAGCTTCAACTTAATTGGCAGCCTGTTGGTCGTGTGAGATGCGCCGAGCTTTGCTGCAATGCGGAATGGGCGTCGGTTGACTTGTCATGCTTAGCTACATTTCACAAGCTGTTGTTTGGGTGGTTGGACTGGTTGGAAAACCGTCAAGCCACAGACCCTAGACCTCCTAGATTGGCAGTACAGCATGCTGAAGCCATGGGTGCCTGCTGCGCTTTAGAAAGTGCTCCGAAGCAGGCCAGGGATTCCAAGGACATCAAAGCAAGTGCCACGGATTGTCGTCCACACTACTCGTACCATCCATGGCAGAACCGCTGTGCATGTGAGATTGCTGGCCAGCACTGGCCAGATGTCAATGCCGAGGCCGCCAAATGTTCCTCTTCCACATCCAGGCCGACGACGCCCAAGTCAGCTGGGCACTTACAGCTTTCTCCATCGTGCTTGGGCTCACATCTTCTCATGCCGAGCTTCGAATTGAAGCAGATACTAGTCTCTGCATGCTCTGCCTCGAGAGTCAGGCACGGAAGAAGGGCGAAGCCCCGCAGGTGGGTAGAGCGCACTTGTCTTTCTATCTACGGTGCCTTCTCAACATTGATGACCGGCAAGGCTGGCAGTGATGCCACACTTCACGATGCGGCTTGGGAGGGCAATGTCGACCTTGTGAGGCCGCATGATCTGAAGAGCCGAAGCTTCCGCACAGCTCTTGCCAACTCGGCCGTTGCGTCACAGGAAGCTCCTGCTACGAGACAGTCCGGATCTTCCGGATGAAGAAGGGCCGGGCACCACTGCTACTATTTGTCGCTTGTGCAGTGTTCCTGTCTGATGTGCCATCGACCTTATGCCCGGCACAAGGTCCACGCCACTGCACTTGCAGCCAGCTCGGAAATGGCATAAGCAAGCAGCAACATCACATGCAATTGCAGTGACTGGCTCCTGTTTTCACATCAGGGCAGCGGATGAAGGCTACATGGAGGTTGTCAAATGCCTACTTGAGGAGGGCAAGGCAGAAGCCACGTGCGAGCAACCCAAACCGTGCAGTTTGCCTAAGCGCGGAGTAACGGGTTAGATTGCAGGCGACTTGCATTGATACTGCGGACGGCGCAGGCATTTGCAGTGCAGATGGGTTTCTGTATTGCACAGGGTGCCGAAGGTGCATTTGATAAGATTGCCACGAGCGTTGAAGACCCAATGCGCTCAACTACACAGTGCCTCCGTGGATGCCCCCTCACTTCGCTGTAGTTCGACACAATCAATCAACTGCCACTCTTTCAGAGCTAAGCATCGCATGCAATGACCCATGGCAGGCAACACGCCCTTGTTTCTGGCTGCGAAGGCAGCAGAACCAGGGCGATTGCAGCTGCGTACCTCAAGCATCACAACCTGTGCCAGGAAGGGAGAACAGACGTCGTGGAATACCTCCTGGCGACTGCCAAGTTGCATCAAAGTTGCATCTATTTATGGGCCCCGACAACTACTTGCATCACCCGCTCCTGGCTCGAGTACACACACTGTCTGGTCCTCATCTGAGGCCTCCTTATGCATCCGCAGTCACATACGATTAAAATGAAATGCCTTTTTTTCGCTACGCCTGAACGAATTGGGCGCATGAGATATGTCGGACAGACTGCGATGTCACAATAAGTTTTGTTGCCTGCGGCAAGCGATTTTCCAGAGATGCTTGATTGATGATGTAAATGTAAAGAGAGAGTGGGTCTGATTCCTCGGACATCAGACTCCAACCCGAGACCCGAGCTGCACAAGCTCGTCCGAGAGCTTGCGAGCCATGGCAGACTCAGAGTCTCCCCATGATGCAGAGATTCCGGATGACCTCCAGAGACGGCTGGATCTTGTAAAACTGCAGATCGCGGAGCTGTTCAATTTGAACCGCAAGCTCAGGACGGACACGTCACGGCGCATACGGTTTTTCGAACTCAGATGCCCCACGCTAGCATACGCAAGGACTAATTTCGAGCACTTGTCCGTGGCGATGCTTTATGTGCGCCGGCAATTGATTGAGTTGGGGCGATAGATGGCGATAGTGTTGTGACCACTGTTAACGTGACCATCTTATGCAGGCCCAGAAGAATCGCCTTCTCGACCACGAGGAGCTCCTGAGACTGGACGCCCGCCCTTTCATGAATTGCTTTTTTACGTCCAAGTTGCTTATGTGAAGAAACCAGTCTGCCACATGTCGTAAAGCTTTGATCAGGGAAGCTCAGGAAGAGCTGAACAGGTCCGCCAACTCTGCAAAGCATGAAGGCCTTGGGGTTGACGATGACGCCGGCGAGCCAAACAGTGAAGAGAAGAAAGACAGATTGGTGGAAGAGAAGGACCGCGCACGCCGCGTTCCGATCCATCGTCCACTAACTGCTGTGCTTAGGGTTACATCCTGTACTTCGTGCGTGTAGACATGTCTTCCCTAGAACTGTAACTGCATGCGTGAGGACATGGAAGCTGCGGGTGATTGTATCGGCGACCTGGAGCGCAGCTATGCAAAGCTGCTGGGGCGGAACCTTGCGAGAAACGAGCCACGGTATCGCGCCTCGGAGAAGTTCCGAGGGCCAGAGGGGGCAGTAGCGACGTCCGAAGGTGTGCATGTCAATGTCTTCAGTCGCACAAGGCTACAAGCCTCGGCCGTCCAACATCGGAAATTATTGCGCCATCGTTTGTTTAGACGAAGCTTGGCAAGATATACGCAGGTTTGACAAAAAGATGCTCCCCAGCATTCTGTTGAGTCAGCAGTGTGCTGATGCTGAGGCACTGGATCCTCCGATGGAGTTTGCGGGTGACTCTTTTCGACAGAAGCAAGTAGCCAAGCATTCCGCTGCATTACAGGCGCTCAACTACTTGGATGCACGGCACAAGTTGGTAGTTCTCGATTTGTGAACATGGCCGAAGTGCTGTGGCGCGCTACTGACTTCGCGGTCATGCCTACGCCTGCTCGTTGCCACGCCAGCCAAGGAGCTACAGGGCGCCGATAACGTTCGAATCGCGGCTCCGAAGGTCAGCTCGGTCTCTTGGCTGCCCATCACGTGACTTTCAGTTCATGTGATCGCATGCACCTCATGGCTTACATCGGCTTGTGTCACGTCTTGCTTCGGAATCTGTGGGCGAGTAGACCTCATCAGCACAGTCTCCAAAGTGACTGCAGCACCGGAATCCGGAAGTTCCGCTCTAGAGGTCATGTGAACAGAACAAGCATACCACAGCCGGGGGCTTCTTTGACAGCGATCCTGACAACGGTCCAACGAAAGATTCAGACGTCTCTGTGGCCAAGGACAGTGAGCCTCAACAGATACGACGGCGAAGGCATTGGATGGACGTGGAGCTTTCTGAGCAGGGCGCACCTTCTTTTACAGAAGCAGCGGCCGAGCCGTCCTCTCTAGAGGCACAGCTAGAGCCAGCGGGGGTAGGTGTGCAGCGAACTTTACATGAGACCTTGGATAGCACCCTGGTTTAGTGGTCTAGTAATCGAGATTCCTTTCGACAGCCTCGCAGACTTGCCTGCGTAGTGTCCGATTCTGGGGTCCTGCGTCTCTTCAGAATAATGATCCAGGCCGTTTAACATCCACCAGTACTGACCGCTCTTCTGCTGTTTGTTGTCACAGCTGGCCTGGCGAATGCTTCCCGTAGTAGCCACAAGGCTCACCAGGCCTGTAAATCACAAAAGCATGCAAGGACTTACTTAGTTCACTGGGTGGCTCCGGCACGCCTGAGTGTAGCAGGCTCCGGATGCCATACGCAACATGAGCAACGCGAAGGGGCGGCTCCTGGAGTTCCTGTCGAAGGACGTGAAGAGTGGGAAGGGCTGGAAGATCACATGTGAGCGCGTTTGGGCATATCCATACAAAGCAGAGTGATTAGACGTTAGAGGATGTCCCGCACTACCCTTCCGTTTCGTGAAGCGCATCTGCCAGGAAGTGCGACGGCCGCTGGAGGAGGAGGAATTTCAGTGGTCCTCTTTGTATTCGCTGAGCCAGCATGCTGTCTTGAGAAGAGCGCACAAACCTTCCACATCCACATGTCAGGTTGCTTTGCATTTGGCCTCTGGGTGCACTGTACTGTACTGCCCAAGGTGCGGCTTCACTGCTACAGTTCAATTTAACGTGGAGGGCTGGGCCGTTGGGAGTTTTACAGGAGCTGCTGCTTGGCTGTATAGGGAAGGCCACGTAGCGAAGGTCCGGGAAGGTCACAGGACTCGGCTTCAGCTCAGGCGTTCGGTCGGAAGAAA